GTAGTCCCAGCTACTTGGGAGGCAGAGGCAGGAGACTCGCTTGAGCCCAGGAGTTGGAGGTTGCTGTGAGCTGTAATGCTACGGCACTCTACCCAGGGGGACAGCTTGAGGCTCTGTCTCAAAAAAAAAAAAATTAATTAAAAATTGAAAAATTACCTGGGCATTATGGTGGGCATAGTCCCTGTTACTTGGGAGGCTGAGGTAGGAGAATCGCTTGAACCCAGGACTTTGAGGTTTCTGTGAGCTAGACTGAAGCCACAGCACTCTAGCCTGAGCAACAGATTGAGACCCTGTCTCAAAAAAAAAAAGAAAATGAAGTGGTCATCCCTTTAAGCCCCAGCACCTCCTATCTTACTCTGATTTGTTTTATTCATGGTACTTACCACTCTCTGCCATTTTCTTATGTGTTATTTTCTGTGTCTTCCCAGTGGAATGCAAGCTCCAAGAGAGCAGAAACCTTGTCTTTCTTGTTCAACTTTTCTATTTCCAGTTATCAGAATAGGCACATAGTTGGCACCCAATCAATATTTGCTGGAAGAATGAGGAGCCTGGGGAGTAGTGAGAATAGATTTTTCATTGAAAGTTGATCTCTGTGGGCAGCTCCTGTGGCTCAGTGAGTAGGGCACCAGCCCCATATACCAAAGGTGGCAGGTTCAAACCTGGCCCCAGCCAAACAGCAACAAAAAATAGTCGGGCATTTGTGGCGGAAGCCTGTAGTCCCAGCTACTCGGGAGGCTGAGGCAAGAGAATTGCCTAAGCCCAAGAGCTGGAGGTTGCTGTGAGCTGTGATGCCAAGGCACTCTATTGAGGATGACAAAGTGCAACTCTGTCTCTTAAAAAAAAGAAAGAAAGAAAGAAAGTTGATCTCTGGCTGTTCTGTGGAAAGTGGATTAGAAGGAGGTCAGGCTGGAAGCAAGAGGAATAATTAGGGTGCTACTTTATTGGTGCAGGAGAGAGATGCCATTTTTGTATATTAATTCTTCATAAGAACCCTGGGAGTTCATGCCTCCATTTTACAGATGAGGTGACTAAAGCATAGAGATGTTCATACAGCAAACTATCTGGGTTGAGCTGGGTTTTGAGCACACAGTCTAACTTCAGAGTCCATGTTCTTGGCCACTGTGTGATACTATCCTGGGTACCTGTACCTTTTTTTTTTTTTTTTGCATTTTGGCTGGGGCCGGGTTTGAACCCATCATCTCCAGCATATTGGGCCAGCGCCCTAATCCTTTGAGCCACAGGAGTTACTCGTACCTATAACTTTTATTTTTCTCTCCAAACCTTTGTTTATGTAGTTTCGTTCTGGAATGCTCTTCACTGTCCTTATCCTCTATGTGAATGAGTATTGCCCACCTGTCAAAGTCCAGCTCATTCTCACATCTTCAGTAAAGAAGACTTCACTGACCATCCTTGTCCCTCCTGTTCTTTTATCTCTTGTAGACCATACCACATGCTATTTATATGATTCCTGAAAAGTCTCTTATAGATATTCACAAAGAATCATACACCGAGCTGGAAGGGACTTGCACTGACTAAAGTGTAGTGGCCTCATCATAGCTCACTGCAACTTCCAACTCCTGGGCTCAAGAGATCCTTCTGCCTCAGCTTCCAGAGTAGCTAGGACTACTGGTGCACACCAGAATGCCTGGGTAATTTTTTTCTATTTTTAGTAGAGTGAGGGGTTTTACTCTTGTTCAGGTTACTCTCTTAACTCCTGAGCTCAAGAGATCCTCCCACTCTGGGCCTAAGCAAGAGCAAGACACTCATCACACCTGGTCTGGGACCTAGAAGATAGTAGTAAAATTTATAAAGGCCATTCATTTGGGCTGAGCTTCTGCACAAGGCCCAACAGACTATACCAAAATGGAGTTACTTCTCAAGTTCCATGCTACCAAGGCAAAACTAAGATCTTTATCTGAACTTCTGAGAAATCAGGACAAAAGAAAGAGACAGAGAGAAGCTAAATCCCCCCAAAGGCCAGTTTTAGTGAGCATGAGAAGTGTTAGGGGCAGACAGAAAGCAGGGTCTCCTAACACTAAGCAAGTCCCAGGCTGGCGGTGGCTCACATCTGTAATCCTTGCACCCTGCCAGACCCAGGCAGGTGGATTGCCTGAGCTCGTGGGTTCCAGACAAGCCTGAACAAGAGAGAGACCCCCGTCTCTAAAAATAACTGGGCGTAGTGGTAGGCACCGGTAGTCCCAGCTACTTGGGATGCTGAGGCAAGAGGATAGCTTGAGCCCGAGTTTGAGTTTGCTGTGAGCTGTGACGCCACAGCTCTCTACTGAGGGCGACAAAGTGAGACTGTCTGAAAAAACAAAAAACAACAAAAGAGAGAGAGAGATAGAGAAAGTTCCTTCACTTCAACCTTCACAAAAGAAGTAACTTTGGGGCGGCGCTTGTGGCTCCGGCCCCGGCCCCGGCCCCATTCACCGGAGGTGTTGGGTTCAAGGTCAGCCCAGCCAAAAACTGCAACTAAAAAAAAAAAAAAAGTAACTTTGAAATGACCAATCGCTTTGTTTTCTGTCCCCCCCCCCCAAGTCCTTTTCTATCAAACCAACCTCCTCTCTTCAGCTCATCAAAACACTCATTCTATTTTATAGAACGGGGCATTGCCCTATTCTAGAATACAAAATAAAAGCCTATTAAGATCTTTAAATTTGTCGCAATTTTGTCTTTTGACAAAGACGAAGGGATAGTAAGGAGGATGACTTGTCCAAGATCACAGAGCAAACTGGTAGTACAGGCAGGACCAGAACAGTTACAGGCAGGACCAGAACAGTTTCTCGGCCAGTGTAAGTTTCTCTACCCACAAGCAGCCGGGATTTCTTCACCGGCCACCGGCATCTCTCTAAGGGTGGCAGGAGAAACACCTGCCTCAGAATCACGTGGGACACGAAAAGACTAAGGCAAACCCGAGGAATCTGCATTCGCGAACATTTCACAGAAAGTTTAAATAACTATGGTCGCCCCGCCCATGGCAGAGCCTTCCTCAAAACAGGCGTTACCAAATTCCTTCGGCCTTAAAATTCCCACTGCATCATGGGAAATGTAGTTTGGGCTTTCTTCTTCCTCCGGCCGCTCGCTTTACGGAAGGAGCCGAATCAATCCGGAAATAGTCGAGTGTTCCTTGGCGGGCCCTTTCCTGCCCGGTTGCATTCTGGGAAAGGGCAGTTTCCGTTAGGTGCTGAAGGCTGAGGCGCGCGACCGGCCCCATTCCCACGTGAAGCGCTACGCTATCTTCGTTCGGCGGGGCTGCTGCCAGCTCGCCGCGGAGAGTCGCGGCAGCAGCCAGGGACCGGAAGTGGCTCGCGGAGATTCAGAAGCTGGTCCCGGAGCCCGGTGTGAGGCGCCCCGGAGCGCGGCGACGGCGCCATGTCCCTGATCTGCTCCAGTGAGTATTGGCTGCGGCCGATCGCGGGTCGCAGGAGGCCGGAGTGCCGAGAGGGAGCGCGTGCGGGCCGTTGCGGCGCTTGGATCTGCGCGGAGTCGGGAATGAGGCACCCAAGAGGCAGAGTGGCGGCCTGTCAGCACGAGGGTGCTCTTCCCAAGAAGCGCGGGATGCATTTGCTCAGTGTTCCGCAGTTTACACAGTGCCTCAGGTTTATTGTCGCAGGGATTACTGAGGCCGGCCACTTCGGTTTGCCGAGTAGAAACCCTTCTGAGCGGAGGGAGCTGGTGCAGCGTAAACAGCTCTGATGATGAAGTCAGGAAACTCTAGGGCTTGTGCAGGGTCAGCCTCCGATTGGCTTTGTGAACTGGCGCAAAGCTCAGGGCCTCGCTTTCCCATCTGCAAAATGAAGAGCATTGCACTGAATGTTGTCTGACGTCTTGCTCGGATAATCCGAGCTTTTGCAATTTGCGAAGGTCACACAGCGAGTTAGAAACAGAGACAGGGCTGGAAGGAAGGTGTCTGTCTCCCTGCCTCACACTGTGTGACTCATAAAAACAGCTCATATTTATAAAACCCTTATTGGTTTACGACCTGCTTCTGAGTCTACGATCTCTTTTTATCCTCACAAGAATTCCCAAAAGGAGAAATAAAGACACTGGTTTTACAGATGAGGATGTAAGGCTCAGGAAGAGTGAGGCTTAGCTAAGGATGCACATCTAGTAAGTGGCAGAGCTTGGTGACGCAGCTAGTTGATTCGGAACTTTGCCCCTGAATCTATGCTTTTTCCTTGCTTTCTGTCTTTCCTTTTGGTCTTTTACTGTGGCATACAGGTGTTTATCCATCTTGTTTCATTGGATTACTAGTTTCACATCTCTTTTTCTATTCACTTCCTTCCCAGAACCTCTCCATTAATTCAAAGAGGGGGAAAAAAGAAAGGGAAATGATGAACAGAAAAAGGAATCCTTCACATTGAAGAAATTACAGTTTGCAAAGGTTTTTCCACATTTATTGTTTCAGTCTTGAAGAAGCTGCCTTTTATATCTCCAGCACCATCCCTCCTCTCATTCACTTGTTCACTCATTTTTTTTGCTGTTTACTGAGTGCCTCCTGGGCATCTGCCTTGTGCTGGAAGTCAGCGGCCTGCTGTAATCCCTATCCTCAAGGGTCCACAGTCTCCAGAGGCGAGCATGTAAATGATAACTCTTTTGGGGGTGTTGTGAGGATAGTTTACTCTATGTAAAATGCTTAGAATCACAAAGTAATGTGTCATGCAATTGTACCACGGAAGTGTTTTTAATATTGTAGTGCTTGTCACATTGCTCCTTGGAATCTTCCAAGTGTTATGTATCTTTTTATATGCTAATTAGTCGACTGTTGGCTGGCCTTCCTATCTTAGTTTAAGATGAGGGGCTGCTTACCTCCAAAGACCAAGGCAGGATTAGAGAGTTGGGACTTTCATCCCTACCTATCTGGGGAAGAGAGAGGGGCTTAAGGTTAGTTGTTCACCAGTGGCTAGTATTTTAATCTCATGCCTTTGTTATGACACCTTCATAGAAACTATAGTGGGATATACAGAAGTTCAGGAGGCTATATGAGGCTCAACACCCCTTCTCTCATATCTCACCCTATACATCTCATCTGTATCCTTTTTTTTCTTAATAATAAATTGGTAAATGTAAGTGTTACCCTGAGTTTTGTGAGCCACTAGGAAATAGTGGTCATGGGAACCTGATTTATTGTCAGTTTTCTCAGAAACATAGGTAAAACTGAGGCTCAAGATTGGCTCTCGTTGAGTCAGAATTGAATTGGAGGACACTAGATGTCTCTGCTGAGGGACTACTTGCTTGATGGGTGGGTGGGGGGAACCCACATCTCTTAGTTTTATAAGAGTATGAGAGGAAAACTGATTTTGTTATTCCAATGTTCTCAGACTTTATAATTTCTTTGATAATCTATCCAGGTGAATTATAACCTAGTCTGAAGTGGGTGTCAGAGATTGGTGTGGCTTCATGTATATCCCCATGTTGTGGAGCAAAATGGGTACTCAGCCATTTTTGTTCAAAAATGAGATGGACAGGGATTATTGACCACTGTTTAGTAGGTCCCTGGTACACAGTAGTTGTTAATAATTATTGTTGACTATCTGACTATCAGGAGAGATGAATGGAGAAGCTAGTTATGTACTGGGAAACATTCTTGCTTGGTGTCATATGTCTTGCTTCCTATTAATTGAGTGTGAGGATGCCGGATCTTGTTGGGACTAATAGTTGGTGAGGAATCCTTAATGCCCAAGATTCTCTTTTACCCTGAGCTCATGGCCTGCCTTTTCTCTACAGTCTCCAATGAAGTGCCAGAGCACCCATGTGTATCCCCTGTCTCTAATCATGTCTATGAGCGGCGGCTCATCGAGAAGTACATTGCAGAGAATGGTACAGACCCCATCAACAACCAGCCTCTCTCCGAGGAGCAGCTCATTGACATCAAAGGTGCCACTGGCTGACCTTAGTCTAGGGCAGGGTTTTTCAACCTTTTTTATCTCATAGCACACTTAAACCTGTAGTTAAATTTCTGCGGGACTTAGAGATAAACTTCCACAGCACACTTAAATTACACTGATCAAAAAAAAGTAAAAAAAGAATATAGTTAGAGTGCTTTGAACTGCTATGAAAATAATGTAATTAATGATCCTTAAAAATTTGGGGGGGCACACCTATGATCCTCTCACAGTATACAAGTTAAAAATCACTGATGTAGGGCCATCTTTGCTTGGATCTTGAGGGGATGGGAGGTGGTGCCAGTGCATTGGAGGTGGAGATACTGGTCTGTTAATGGCTAAGGGGAAAAGAGGTGTGGTGGGGGAGAGTCCTCTGGGTTACAGTTCTTCATGCCTAGTTTCCCTCTCTTGGCAGTTGCTCACCCAATCCGGCCCAAGCCTCCCTCAGCCACTAGTATCCCGGCCATTCTGAAAGCTTTGCAGGATGAATGGGTGAGTTCCAGGAAGAGAATCAGGCACTGTTTTACTCACTTGAAGAGAACACATCACTAGACTAGGACTTGAGGGTGGAGCATTACTTAGAGTATGAACTGTGACACTGGGGACTGGTTTTATTCATCGCTGTATCCCCAGCACTGAGAGCAGCACCTGGTACATGGTAGGTGCTCTAGAAACATGAATGGATGAATGAATACATCTTGCAGGACTGTCTGGCGCAGTGGCTAGCACAGTGAGGCCAATCAATAAATACCAGCAGCAGCAGTGTTACTGTTCCATTTTAGAGAGGGGATGGCATGACATCTGTGATTTGCTGGTAAATTAAGAGAAGATGGGGATGGGAAAGAACTGGCTCCTACTTGGTGTTGTGTGGCATGAGTCGGAGCTCAGGAGTGTCTGGCATATTCAGAGTCACTCTGATGTTGCTTGAGTCTAGGCCTCTCCTCAAGGGCCAACTCTACTAGGTGTTCCCTGCATCCCCTCCCACACCTCACAATGACGTTTCCCTCTCCCAGGATGCCGTCATGCTGCACAGCTTCACTTTGCGCCAGCAGCTGCAGACAACCCGCCAAGAGCTGTCTCACGCTCTCTACCAGCATGATGCTGCCTGCCGTGTCATTGCCCGTCTGACCAAGGAAGTCACTGCTGCCCGAGAAGGTACACCCTCTCCCCTGCCATCCCCCATTCTAGGCTGGTCATGTTTTGTAATATTTCATTTCTGACATTATCTTTTCTCTCAGCTCTGGCCACCCTGAAACCACAGGCTGGTCTCATTGTGCCCCAGGCAGTACCAAGCTCCCAGCCAAGTGTTGTGGTGAGTGCACCCCTTGCATCCCTCTTGCCAGTAGCTCATTTGTGTGCAGTGGCCCATGGAGCTCTCTTTATGTGTCTTTCTTTTGTCCTCTGTGCTTCTCACTCTTACCTTTATTTATTTATTTATTTATTTTTTGAGACAGAGTTTCATTATGTCGTTGTTCGTAGAGTGGCGTGACGTCACAGCTCATGGCAACATCAAACTCTTGGGCTTAAGTGATTCTCTTGCCTCTCAATTAGCTGGGACTACATGTGCCTGCTACAATGCCTGGCTACTTTTTGGTTGTAGTTGTTGTTGTTGTTTGGCAGGCCAGGGCTGGGTTCGAAACTGCCAGCTTTGCTGTATGTGGTGCCACTGAGCTACAAGCACTAAGCCTTACCTTTCTTTTTTTCTTTTTGGCAGTTTTTGGCCAGGGCTGGGCTTAAACCCACCACGTCTGGTATTTGGGGCTAGCATCCCACTCCTTTGAGCCACAGGCACTGCCCTTTTCTTTCTTCTTTTTTTTTAGCCCTTCCTATAATTGTGTCCCACCCCCCAAAATTTTGACCCCCCCCACCTCTTTCCCTCCTTCCTTCTCTCTCTGTTCTCTCTTCCTCCACCCGCCACTGTATACTAGATTATTAATTGTCCTCATATCAGAATTGAGTACATAGGATTCTTGCTTCTCTATTCTTTTGATGCTTTACTAAGACTCCTGTGTTCTACTTCCATCCAGGTTAATACAAAAGATGTAAAGCAGCGGTTCTCAACCTGTGGGTTGCGACCCACAGGAACTGTATTAAAGGGCTGCGGCATTAGGAAGGTTGAGAACCACTGATGTGAAGTCTCATCTTATTTAATGGCTAAATAGTATTCCATGGTATACATATACCATGGCTTATTAATCCATTCCTAGGTGGGCATTTAGGCTGTTTCCACATTTTGGTGATTGTAAATTGAGCTGCAGTAAACAGTCTAGTGCAAGTGTCTTTATCGTAAAAGGACTTTTTTCTTCTGAGTAGATGCCCAGTAATGGGATTGCAGGATCAAACGGGAGGTTTAGCTTGAGTTCTTTGAGGATTCTCCATACTTCCTTCCAAAAAGGTTGTATTAGTTTGCAGTCCCACCAGCAGTGTAAAAGTGTTCCCTTCTCTCCACATCCACGCCAGCATCTACAGTTTTGAGATTTTGTAATGTGGGCCATTCCCTCTGAGGTTAGATGATATCTCAGGGAGGTTTTGATTTGCATTTCTCTAATAATTAGGGGTGATGAGCATTTTTTCATATGTTTGTTAGTCTGTCTACTTTAGAGAAGGTTCTGTTCATTTGTTTAGCCCGGTGATATAAGGTATTGTTGGCTCTTTTTATGTTGATTAATTTGAGTTCTCTGTAGATCCTAGTTATCAAACTTTTGTCTGATTCAAAATATGCAAATATCCTTTCTCATTGTGTAGATTGTCTATTTGCTTTGGTTGTTGTCTCCTTAGCTGTACAGAAGCTTTTCAGTTTAATTAAGTCCCATTTGTTTATTTTTGTTGTTGCAATTGCCACAGAAGTCTTCTTCATAAAGTCTTTCCCTAGGCCAATATCTTCAAGTGTTTTTCCCGTTCTTTCTTTGAGGATTTTTATCGTTTCATGCCTTAAATTTAGGTCTTTTATCCATCTTGAATCAATTTTTATGAGTAGAGAAAGGTGCGGGTCCAGTTTCAGTCTTTTTGAATGTGGATATCCAGTTCTCCCCGCACCATTTGTTGAATAGGGATGTTACTTTCATCTGATTTTCTATTTGGTTCCAGATGTCTATGTCTCTATTTTTGTGCCAATACCATGCTGTTTTGATAATTATGGCCTTGTAGTACAGCCTAAAGTCTGCTAGGCTGAAGCCCCTGGCTTTGTTTTAATTACTAAGAATCGCCTTAGCTATATGAGGTTTTCTTCTGGTTTCATACAAAACAAAGAATTATTTTTTCCAAGTCTTGAAAGTATGATGTTGCTATTTTAATAGGGATGGCATTGAATCAGTAGATTGCTTTGGGAAGTATAGACATTTTAGTAATGCTGATTCTTTCCAGTCATGAGCATGGTATGTTCTTCCATTTGTTAGTATCTTCGGCTATTTCTTTTCTTAGAGTTTTGTAATTTTCTTTATAGAGGTTCTTCACCTCTTTTGTTAGGTATATTCCTAGGTATTTCATTTTCTTTCTACCTTGAAGGAGATTAATTAGTTTTTCATCTTGGCTTTTATGGCCTATAAAAATGCTACTGACTTGTGGACATTGATTTTGTATCTTGAGACATTACTGTATTTATTGATCACTTTCAGGAGTTTTGGGGTTCTTTAAGTGTAAGACCATATCATTAGCAAAGAGGTAGAGTTTGACCTCCTCTGCTCCCATTTGGATGCTCTTAATTTCCTTCTCTTGCCTAATTATATTGACTAAAACTTCCAGCCCTTTGTCGAATAGTAGTGGTGATAGAGGACAACCTGGTGTGATTCCAGTTCTAAATGGTTTACTCCATTCAGTTTTGCTCCATTCAGTAAAATACTAGCTGTGTCACCCTTACCTTTGTTTTCTTCAGGGTGCAGGTGAGCCAATGGATTTGGGCGAGCTGGTGGGAATGACTCCCGAAATTATCCAGAAGGTAAGTCCTGCTTTCACTGGGAATGCTGATGGGCCTCATATTTCACTGTCTGCCTTGAGTCCATTGTGACTAAAAATCCCATACATTTGGGAGTAGAGTATAGTGGTGAAGAGCAGGGACTCTGGGACTAGACTGACTAGGTTTATATTTTGGTGCCACTGCTTTATGATTGTGGCTTATTTAGCTAACCCTTCTGTGTCTCATTCCCTTGCTTCTAAAGTGAAAATATAATAGTACCTATGTTAGAGGTTTGTGAGAATTTAGAAGATTTAATTACCGATAAGTGTGATGCTTAGCTCTTATTGGGGTTCTTTGCAGATATTAAACTACTGTATTATATGTTTCTGTGCCTTTTTCCTTTGGGGGAGAGAGGACAGGAATTACCATCTTCATTTTACAGATGAAAGAAACACCTCATAAGAGGCAGAACTGGACTCCTGATTCCAAGTCCAGGGCTCTGTTTTATCCATGGAATCTTCGTTTGTGGGGCTTGGTGGTATCTTTTCAACAAGTTCAGATTGTCAGCATGGATCTGAGCTCCTGATCTATGGGAGTGCTACAGACCTGATTCAGGTCCTTGCTCTGCTGTTATCACAAGGCCTTGGGCAAGTGACTTGGCTTTTCTGAGGCTGTTTCCTCAGCTGTAAAATAAGGTCTTCAACACCTACCCGTAAAGCTGGGGTGAAAGTAAAAGATAAAAGAGGCAGTGCTTGTAAGCCTTTAGCACAGAAGTTGTCAGGTAATAAGTCGATCATGTTTATAAAAGTACAGGTGTGACCAACATCCAATGTGCCATTGTCCTGGCAAGATAATTTGTCTGATATTGTGCCTATTCCTCCTTAGCTTCAAGACAAGGCCACTGTGCTAACCACGGAGCGTAAGAAGGTGAGTCTTCTGGAGTCAGCAAAGGGAGCTGGCTTGGTAGGAGGCAGTTTGACCCCTTAAGAGGAAGAGGGGTGGCTGAATCTTGTATTCATTGCTGCTTTTCTTGGCCATAATTCATTTTCTCAGAGGGGAAAGACTGTGCCTGAGGAGTTGGTGAAGCCAGAAGAGCTCAGCAAATACCGGCAGGTGGCATCCCACGTGGTGAGTGGCTGGGTTCCCAGTAACTTAGAGTCAGGCCTTCCCCTGCTATTTCTGGTGTGTGGCCAGGCAGCATGTAGAGCAGTAAGTAGAAAACTGTCTAGGCCCTCTGGCCCTGTTTGTCACCTGGGCTGGTTACTTGTTGGGGTGCCTCTCTTGCCCACCTCTTGGTTCCAGTAATTTAGAAGGGAATTACTATATCCAGGCATAAAGTGATGTGGGATGGATAAGAAATAGAAGCAACTCTTATTATTCTTAGGGGATGGGCGACTAGAGATGGCAATTGGGGAGTTGTATGGCTTTGTGGCCTGCTGAGATCTGGCTGTGACAGGGTTTGATGTGGCTCTCTCTGCAAAGGGGTTGCACAGTGCCAGCATTCCTGGGATCCTCGCCCTGGACCTCTGTCCCTCTGACACCAACAAGATCCTCACTGGTGAGAGTCTGGGTCTGGTCCAGCAGACTGAAGTGGGGAGGGACAGCAGGGAAAAATACATGCTCCTTGTCCTCTTTTCATGGACCTGAGAACAAAAGTCCCTTCTTCAACAAAAGTGCCTAGGTAGGCCTGGCTCATTTTTTGATATTATTTCTGTCCTTTCCAGGTGGGGCAGATAAAAATGTTGTTGTCTTTGACAAGAGTTCTGAGCAAATCCTGGCCACCCTCAAAGGCCATACCAAGAAGGTTACCAGTGTGGTATTTCATCCTTCCCAGGTAAGGGGTTCTCTCCACTACCTCTGGTCCCTCTTCCCTAAGCCCTATTTCCCTGAAACAGTGGTTCCTGAACCATCCTCCACTCCCCTCCATTCTTCTTGGTGATGCAGGGGTGAGAAAGAGCTCTGACTCCTGAGAGTGGGCCTTAGTGGGGGATCTCTGTTTGGAGTCATGGGGATTGCCCTCTAAAGCAGGGATCTTCAGAACAGGGGGAGAAAGGAAATGGATAGTTTGACATATTTAATATTAGAGAAAGAAAAAAAAACTTTACAGTGTTTATAATACAAACTACAGAAAACAAAACTTAACATAATCTTGACTCACAAATATATGAGGAAGAAAATACAGGGTGGCCATCAAGATCATGTGCAATTTACTATGTTAAATTAATTAATTTAAATTGTACATGGACTTTATGGACACCCTGTGTGTCTGTTTCCCATGATTCTTTTTTTTTTTTTTTTTCATTTGCGGGTTTTGGCCAGGGCCGGGTTCGAATTTGCCACCTCTGATGTATGGGGCCAGCACCCTACTCCTTGAGCCACAGGTGCCATCCTGTTTCCCATGATTCTGAAGGATAGAGGTGGTAAAAACTTGATGTTGAGGATTAAAGGTGGCATGAGTTACAGATAGAGAGAACTGGTTCATTGAGTAAAGATAGTTCATGAGACCAGAATAGTGATGTTATGAGATTTGAGTTTTAGGTCAATGACAGTTTGGGACTGCAGGACTGTGGTTGGATCAGTGCTTCCCAGACAGTGAGCCTTTGCCTTGACTTAGACCTTGGGGAAATGAGAAGTAAAAGAATAACATGATAAATTGTTCATAAAACTAAGTTTATTCACATTAAAAGCTTTGTTTTCCTGTTTACATTGTGTTAATAGTTATGTCTCTTGTGAAATCATGTTGATAAGAGGTGATAGTTGTTTTTACCTTATGACTTCTAATGTGTTAATTAACCAAAATAATTGGTAAGTGACACCGTATGTTCTCTACCTGCTCCAAGTCCTTCAGAAATTTAACTTGCTCCTGAAATTTTTCAGTGTGGGATGCACTGAAATTTGATCTTACAGCCCCTTCTAGTCCCAGTGCTCCTCAGACCTGTGCCATACAATATGTAATCATTAGCTACATATGGCTATTTAAATTTCAGTTAAAAGAAAATACATTTACTCATTTGTACTACTACCCACATTTCTCCTTTCAGTTAAGTTGCTTTCTGTTGCAGTTATCCTTCTTACCACTAGATGGCAAGGCCTCTGCAAGGCTTGATCCTGTTCTGTTGTTATTTTAGTAGCATTTACCATTAGCTCTCAAAGGCATCATTGGATGGACAAGTGATACCGGGAAGGACAGGGCTGAAAAGAGAAGCATTGTTTGTAGTTGTGGCCATCCCCAGTTCCTTTTATAAGATGGTTGTTGTCTGCCTCTCTTTTCTGTCTCTGATCCTCCTCATCTTTGCTTTCATTTTAGGACTTGGTGTTTTCTGCCTCCCCAGATGCCACTATTAGGATTTGGTCGGTCCCAAACGCCTCTTGTGTACAGGTTGTTCGGGCCCATGAGAGTGCTGTGACAGGCCTCAGCCTCCATGCCACTGGTGACTATCTCCTGAGCTCTTCTGATGACCAGGTGTGCTCCTAGCCAGGGCCCTAAAGAGGCCTGCTGGTTCCCAAGTTTAAACACCCTGGGAAGAGGGAACATCTTACCAACCCCAGCTAGTTCCTCAGAGCTTTGAAGGAGAATGTTTTCTTTCTCCTGGGAGGTGCTAGCTTTGCTAGATTTTGCTGAATCGGGGTCTCTGCCTTCCTGAAGGACACCAGAACCTGGGGACCTACTTTCTCACTGGTTTTATTGTCTCATTCCTTTTTAGTACTGGGCTTTCTCTGACATCCAGACAGGGCGTGTGCTCACCAAGGTGACAGATGAGACCTCTGGCTGCTGTAAGTTGGCTCAGAAATACTAGACTCTTTGTTTGCTGCTTATCATATATTTTTGTCTTCTATAGTCCTTTGCTCATTTTTTCTTCTAAATGTACTTTGTTTTGCGACAGAGTCTCACTCTTTTGCCCTGGTAGATGCTATGGCATCATCGTAACTTGCTGCAAACTCAAACTCACCAGCTTAAGCAGTCCTCATGCCTCAGCCTCCTGAACAGCTGAGACTACAGCACCCACCACCACACCCAACTAGATTTTCTGTTGTTGGTAGAGACAGGGTCTCTTGCTTAGGCTGGTCTCAAACTTCTGAGCTCAAGCAGTCCACCTGCCTTGGCCTCCCGGAGTGCTAGGATTACAGGCATAGTTAGTGCACCCAGCCTCTAAATGTACACTTAACCACCAGCTCTTATTTAGTGACAGTCTTTGTGCTGGGTGCAGTGATTAATGTGAAGAACAAGAAACCTACCATTGTTCCTGTTAGTGTCTGCCTGTGGGCTTTGACTACAGGTCCATCTCCTCCACAGCTCTCACCTGTGCGCAGTTCCATCCTGATGGACTCATCTTTGGAACAGGGACCATGGATTCTCAGATCAAGATCTGGGACTTGAAGGTAGGACATGGAAGGCCTCTGTCTGAGGCCCAAGGTTGGAGGGGGTGCATGCTCTTGTGAAGACTTGTGAAGATATAGTGCTGATTAGATGCTTATGGCATCTAACCTTAGGGGTGTCTTGAAGGTGGAGTGATAGTGACTCTATCACTATCAGGTGTGATGTGACTGGTGTGGTCTGGGGGGTCCTGATTATTCCTACTGGCTGTCCTTCCTGGAAAGACAGAACATCTCAGAAGTTTGGAAAACTCCATTTTCTTTTCATGATCAGTGGGTGATGTGTTTTACTACTCCCCCTCCCCCCCCAACCATAGGAGCGCACCAATGTGGCTAACTTCCCTGGCCACTCAGGCCCCATCACCAGCATTGCCTTTTCCGAGAATGGCTACTACCTGGCTACAGCAGCTGATGACTCCTCAGTCAAGCTCTGGGATCTACGCAAGCTTAAGAACTTTAAGACATTGCAGCTGGAGAACAACTTTGAGGTGTGCCCCCCTCCCTCTGGCTCTTGCTGTTGCTTCTTTTCATTTGTTGATTATTTACTGAATTAATCAAAATTCTTTTTATCCCAAGTTACTCTATAGTTTCTGTTTCCCATGTGTAACTTTCTGATGCTGGCAGGTGAAGTCACTGATCTTTGACCAGAGTGGTACCTACTTGGCTCTTGGGGGCACAGATGTCCAGATCTACATCTGCAAACAGTGGACAGAGATTCTTCACTTTACAGGTAGAGGCTGGCCCTGGGCTCCTGAGGTTTCTTCTTGTCAGGCCCCAAGGGAAACCTTCCTGGCTTAGGGATCTGTTGGGCTCACATGAGTTTGCCTAGGCAGCTTTTATCACCACCTGCAGCAGTAGAGCATAGTGGCTAAGGAAGGGGTCTCAGATTTAGACTGTGTAGTGTAAATGTTAGCTGTAGCTCTGCTACTTCCAGGCAGTGCGGCATTGGGCATGTTACTGCAGGGGAGAGAAAACATTCTTTCTACTCTCTGAAAGTTTGATAATTAAGTCTATGAAATAAACTGACAATAAATAGATTGACAGAAGAAGAGCCATTTTAACTACATGCGTATGAATATACAAAATATAAGGCTTGAAAAAGGTCAGATGATTGAAGCTTAAAGAGTCATGTGCCACTTAACTGTGGGGATACATTCTGAAAAGTGCATCCTTAGACAGTTTGGTCATGCGAACATCATAGTGTACATACACAAACCTGGATGGTATAGCCTACTACACATTATGTCCTATGGCCTGTTGCTTCTGGGCTGCAAACCTGTATAGCCTAGTACTGTACTGAATACTACAGGCAGCTTTAACATCACAGTAAGATCTGTGTATCTAAACATAGAAAAGGTACAGTAAAAATACTATATAAAAGATAAATAGGGCCAGTGCAGTGGTTTATACCTGTAGTCCTTGCACTCTGGGAACCCAAAGTGGAGGATTGCTTGAGGTCAGGAATTTGAGACCAAGCTGAGCAAGAATAAGGCCCATCTCTACTAAAAATAGAAAAATTAGCTGTGTGTGGTGGTGCACCTTTATAGTTCCAGCTACTTGGGAGACTGAGGCAGGATCACTTGAGCCTAGGAGTTTGAGGTTGCAATAAACTAGGATGACACCAGTGCACTCTAGCCAGGGCAACAGAAAAAAAAATGATAAATGGCACACCTGTATACGTCCTACCATGAATGGAGCTTATAGGACTGGAAGTTGCTCTAGGGGAGTCAGTGGGTGAATGGTGAACAAATGTAAAGTCACAGGCCATCACTATACACTATTGTAGACTTTATAAACACTGTATAATTAGGCTACATTGAATTTATAAAAATGTTTTTCTTAAAAAATTAACCTTAGCTTATTATAACCCTTTTTTACTTTATAACTTAGGGGTTTTTACAAACACATTGTACAGCTCTGCCAAAGTATTTTCTTTCTTTATATCCTTATTGGATAAGCTTTTATCTTTTTTAAAAATTATTCCTTTTTGTTAACTTTTTAAATTTTTAAAAAAATTAAAATACAAACACACACATTAGCCCAGGCCTTCATATGACTAGGATCATCAATACACTCTTCTGCCTCCCTCTATCTTGTCCCATCAGAAGGTCTTCAAATGACTCATGGAGCTATCATCTCCTGTGAGAACAGTATCTTCTGGAATACCTCATAATGTTCTCCTTGAGGCTGTTTTACAGTTAACCTTTTTTTTTTTTTTTTTTTTTTGAGACTTTTGAGACTCTGAGAAACTCTTTGTCATCCTGAGTGCAGTGGCCTCATCATAGCTCACAGCAACTTCAAACTCCTGGGCTCAAATGATCCTCTTGAGTAGGTGGGACTGCAGGCATGCACCACCATGCCTGGCTAATTTTTCTAATTTGTCTAGAGACAGGGGTCTTGATCTTGCTCTGATTGGTCTTAAACTCCTGAGCTCAAGCAATCCTGCCTCCAGCTCTTGGAGTGCTAGGATTATAGGCAAGAGCTACCACTCCTGAGCAACTTTTTTTTTAAGTAGGAGTGAAGTCTAGTATGGTAAATGTAGGCATGCTTTGTTTTGTTATGTTTCTCTTCATTGCATTTCATAGATTCTGGGTTTTTCACAAATTGAAAGTTTGTGACAACCTGGTGTTGAGCAAGTTTTATCAGCACCATTTTTCCCACAACATATGCTCACTTCATGTCTCTGTCACATTTTGATATTTTTCCCCCAGTATTTCAAATGTTTTCATGATTATTATATAAATTATAGTGCTTTGTGATCAGTGATCTTTGATGTTTATATTGTTAATTTTGGGCTGCCACAAACTGTGCCTGTGTAAGACAGAGAACTTAATTGATATGTGTATGTATTCTGACTGCTCCATCAGCTAGACTTGGGCCTGTCTTTTTACTTCTTCTTGGGCCTCCCTATTCCCTGAGACAGAGCAGTATTGAAATAGGGCTCTCAGTGTTCAAGTAAAAGGAAGAATCACATGTCTTTTACTATAAATCAAAAGCCAGAGATGATTAAACTCCTCACAGTAGCATGTGAGGAAGACATGTTGAAAGCCAAGATAGCCTTAAAGGCTGCCTTTTTTTTTTTTTTTGGAGACAGCCTCAAGCTATCCCCCTGGGTAGAGTGCCATGACATCACAGCCCACAGCAACCTCCAACTCCTGGGCTCAAGCGAGTCTCCTGCCTCAGCCTCCCAAGTAGCTGGGACCACAGGCGCCCGCCACAACGCCTGTTCATTTTTTTGGTTGCAGCCATCGTTGTTTGGTGGGCCGGGCTGGGGATTCGAACCCGCCACCTTAGGTGTATGTGGCTGGTGCCTTAGCTGCTTGAGCCACAGGCACTGAGCTTAAAGGCTGCCTCTTATGCCAGTTAGCTGAGTTGTGAATGCAAAGAAAAAAAATTTTTTTTTTTTTTGGAGACAGTCTCACTTTGTTGCTCTCGGTAGAGTGCTTGGTGTCAGAGCTCATAGCAACCTCAAACTCTTGGGCTTAAGCAATTCTCTTGCCTCAGCCTCCCAAGTAGCTGGTGCTACAGGCGCCCACCACAATGTCCAGCTATTTTTAGAGACAAAGTCTCAACTCTGCCTCAGGCTGGTCTTAAACTCCTGAGTTCAAGCAGTCCACCCACCTTAGTCTCCCAGAGTGCTAGGATTACAGGTATGAGCCTCCTAAGTGCTGGGATTATAGGCATGAGCCACTGTGCCTGGCCAGAAGGAAAAAATCTTGACATTAAAAGTGCTCCTCCAAAGAACAAATGAATGATTAGAAAGCAAAACAGCCTTATTAATGATAAAGAGAAAATTTTAGTGGTCTCAATAAATCAGACTATTCACAGTATTCCTTTATTAGGCAAATCCTAATCCAGAGCAAGACTCTAACTCTCTTTAATTCTGTGAAGGCTGAGAGGTGAGGAAGCTGCAGAAAAGAAAGTTAGAACATAGCATGAGGTTTAAGAAAAGACGCTATCTCCATAACATGAAAGTTCAGAGTGAATAGCAAGTATTGGACATAGAAGCTGCAGCAGGGTTATTCAGAAGATTTAGCAAAGATCACTGATTAAGGTAGCCACACTACACAGATTGTCACTGTAGATGAAATAGGTTTCTGTTGGAAGAAGACACCATCTAGGACTTGGATAGAGAGGAAAAGTCAGTGCCTGGCTTTAAAGCTTGAACAGACAAGTTCAGTCTCTTTGTTAGGGGCTAATGCTACTGGTGACTTCTCAGTTGAAGTCAAAGCTTGTTTACCATGCTGAAAATCCTGGGGCCTTTAAGTTATGCTAAGTCTACTCTGCCATAGCCCTGTAAATGTAACAACAAAGTCTGGATGACATGTTTACAGCATGGCTTACTGAGTATTTTATTATAAGCCCACTATTGAGATCAGTTGCCCCGGAAAAACATGTTCCTTTCAAAATACTACTGTTCATTGAAAATACACCTAGTCTTATCAGAGAGCTCTATTGGAGATATACAAAGAGATTAAATGTTGTTTTCATGCCTGCTAACATAATATCCAGTCTGTAACCTGTGGATCAAGGAACAATCTGAACTTGCAAATCTTTTTTTTTTTTTTTTTTGAGGCAGAGTCTCAAGCTGTCTTCCTGGGTAGAGTACCATGGCATCATAGCTTACAGCAACCTCCAACTCAGGCTCAAGTGATCCTCTTGCCTCAGTTTTTCTATTTTTAGTAGAGTCCTTTTGCTTAGGTGGTCTTGAACTCATGAGCTCAAGCAATCCACCCACCTTACATCCCAGAGTACTAGGTTTACAGGTGTGAACCACCGTGCCTGGCCAACTTGAAAGTCTAAATACTTTTTGTAAAGCCATGACAGGTATAGAGGTGGTTCCTCTGATATATCCAAGCAAAGTAAATTGAACATCTGGAAATGATTCACCATCCTTTCTTCCCTAGTAAGAAGCTTCCTAGTTCATAGGATGAGGTCAAAATATCAACATTTAAAAAGAGTTTGAAAAAAGTTGATTCCAACCCTACTACATAACTTTGAAGGGGTTTCAGGCAGTAAAGGAAGTAGCTGCAAGAAATGGGAAGAAACAGTATAAAAAAGAAAAAAATGACAAGAAAACGAGAATTAGAACTGGAGACTCAAGTTGGGACTGAATTCTTGCAATCTCATGATAAAACTTTAGCAAACAAAGAGTTACTTCTTAGGGATGAGCAAAGATAGTTTCTTTTTTTTTTTTTT